TGTACTGTAAATAATTGAAAAGAGCTGCAGTGAGCTGCTCTGACCAGAATTCAGCATCCTTGGACACCTGTTGTGGATAGCGTGCTATTTTTTGACCCACGAGGCATTCAGAGTATGTTGCTGTACGTGTTGGATAAATCCATAAATAAAATAATAAAAAAAGAGTAATAATTTAAAAAAATCAGGCAAAAGGGGAATTGGTACATATTACAATTTTCTACTCAATTGGCAGAATTAGCAATGGGGAGCATGTTATAGCGGTTATTCCGTTGTACAACTGTTGCCCAGCTTTCTCTTTGGTTACAAGTACATAGTTTGATCAGCATGGCTCTAGCTAGCAGGCTGCGAACAGGATCCAGTTTGTGGCATGTTTTCCTTCTGGCCTGCAGCCTTTTCCTCAAAGTGGTGTGGAAGTAGGGGCCAAGGCTGCTTTTTTTTTTGGTTTCTCTTTTGCACAGCCATCTGATTTGGGCTAGATTTGGGCACAGATGTGCATCTGTGCTGGGTAGAGGGGAGTCAGACAAAAATATGCCCGTGAGTATGGTATAGCATCTAGGAGTAAGCTGCCTTACTAGTGGTGCAGATCTAGGGAGTATCAGAAAACTGGGGTCTGAGTTATGGCACTGACTGGATTAGGTGCTGCTTGATCTAATACTATATATTCCTGCTCAGGCTGGAACACTAGAAATCTTTGGAGTTTTCATAAATACCTGGTTTGTTTGAAGCATTTTTTGGTCAGAGGCTGAGTTTACCTGATGTAATTCCGCAGCTCTTGAGCCAAAGAGCCTGTTGCTGAAGTCCAGAGACATACAGTAGCTTTACGTTCTCCTGCAGCCTGTGTTCAGGCATTGGAAGCAGTTTCCTGGTGGGTAGAATCCTTCTTTCTTTTTCTTCTTTTTTGGTATTGATATTTAATCAATTTTTCAGTGTCATGTGTCCCTGCCTCTTGGTAAAGGTGTACCTATACAACAGCACTGCTCTTTCAACAATTTTGCTTCTCTTTGGTGATATCTATATATGCACAGTCCTGCTCTGTAAAGGAATTACTAAGAACGTCTGTAGTATTTCTTGTAGGGCAGGTTAAAAATTTATTCTTACTTTATGAGGCAGTGTGGCTTTTACCCATTTTTTATTTTTATTTTTTAGCATTACCATTAACATTACTAATTTTAATGTGTAATTTTAATATTGCCACATTAATGGCTTATTATTTATTATTGTTCAGCCTGTAGTCTGTTTTTAAAGTTAAGTGTGTGTCTGTTTTCAAAGGAAATCTTGGCTGGCTAGATGAAAATGTCCCACTAATTTGCATTTAGTTTCTGAAGTTTGGTCATGGAAAAGATTAGTTTAATCAATATGTGAAGATACTGTTGCTTGTTTTGTCCTTTCCTTGACAGTATCCTCTCATTTCTAATTCATATAATTATTGGTTTTGCCTCTTGAGGTTAGTGTTGTCATCATTTTGTTCCTCTAGAGATCTTTCTTGTGTGATTGTGGAGGAGGAGAGGGTAGTGAGGATACGCAGCTTCTAACAGACATTCCTTCCGATGGATTCGGCGTGATGAAAGGCAAACGGGGAGAACATCAAACCCAGCAAGGAAGGCACGGCAGTCTGGCAAGACTCTTCTGGGTTTTGAAGAGTTTCAGGAAATAGGATGGAAAAATTGTGCAATACCGTTAGAGCAAACCTTGTTCCATAAATCAGTCTAAGACGACTGGCATTTGTGGAGTTTTTTTTCTCCTATAAAGTAAGCTAAATGTTTTTGCCATAACTGCAGAGAAGCAATAAAAGACTAGTGAAGGCAAAGGTTATAAACAAATCATTCAGTGCCGACAGAGGGTCCATAGATGCTGACAAGAAACAAATAAAGTGAATAAGGCCGGTACTCTGTTCTGATAAATTTCATTGATTTCTGCACCATGTCATTATGTTGCAGCCTCCCCTGTTATCTTGTAGCTGCAAACCTTTCATTATGGCTTCAAATGATAACAGCTGTTGATATGCTGCAGGAGGTTGTAGTGACTACCATGGGGGTAAAGTACCATTTGCTCAGAAATAATTAGGAAAAACCCCATGTCTGGGTAGCTTTGATCTGCCTGTGGTGTTGTCCTTGCAGAGGAGTTGATATGCCAATACTGCATCTGTTTCCTGGATGAGTTCATGGAGCCTTTATGAGAGCACGCGTGCTCTGTAAAGCAGAATAACTAGAAGGGTCCCACGTGCTGTGTCAGTCCAAGTGCTGTGCTGTGCCTGGACTTTATCAGACCACTGTGTCAAGACCGTCCAATGTCCACCTCTCTCACATAATCACGGATATCTGAAGCTTGCTGCTGCTGTGACTACCCTACTGTCAGCGCCACGTTAGGCAGTTCACGTCTAGCTCGGGTATCCGCTTGCACGTGTAACGGCAACGTAAACGTGTCTGGAGCCGTCAGACTTGCACAGGCCTCAAGTCAACAACGTTTAGAGAAAGAGAAAGCTAACCCATGAAAGCAGGCCCCAAATCCCACGTGATTCCCTAACAATGTGAGGTGAGATAGTAGGTACCTCTGAATTCCCCAAGCATTTTAAGCAAATAACTGTCTCCCTTTACTCTAGCTAAGCACAAATCCAAACCAATCTGGTTTGTTTCTGATCTGATGCTGGGAGGAGAAGGGGGTCTGAAGCGCAGTCTTCAGGAACTTCTAGCACAAGGGAGCACAAACTGTGCGTGTGTGGTATAACCTGATACACACTGCATATGCTGTGGGAATGCTGGAAAACTGCCAAAGCACCTGCAGGCTGCTGCTTGGCAGGAGTGTTAGAAAGTACATGGTTCCCTCTCCCTTACTAAGAGTTGGTAAAAGACCGAAAAGAGTGTGCGTATGTGGAGGAAAACTCTGGGGTAAGAGGACAAAAGGAGCGGAGACCAGGTCATGCTTGTAACTCTGTCGACAATACTGGAAATAGCTGCGGACTGTTTGTTATTTTGAAGAAACCCAAGCTCCAGCTATGCTGAGATGAATCAATCTGAAAGGAACTCCTCTTTATTCAATAAACACACTGTATGGAGTTACTTATTGTAAGATTTCCATTCCTCTCCAACCTACCTTGTCATACTAGCTAAGGCTGCTGCAGTGTTCCTGCAGCGCTAAAAATGTTTCCAGAGGATCACAGTTCCTCTGGAGTTTTTCTGTTCTTTGCTTTTATATGCAGCTTTGTATTAGTGGGCAGAAAAGGTTATTTATTTACTGCCATTCCTGGAGTAGCCTTTGACCTAGTGTCTTGCTTGCTGCAGTCCAATCTGCCTCACCATCCTGAACCTTTTACTCTTCTGCAGCTTCTGAGTATAAATAAAAAGCCAAGGACAAATTCAGGGAGTCCCAGCGATGTGGTTCCAATGACTTACTGCACCAAATATATTTCAAGGACAGGCTTGGACTATGAGGCTGCTGTCAGCTAGGAGAGAAAGTAGAGTACAGGACAGATGCCATCACAGAGGAGGTGAAATGGCTCTTCGGGAACCTGCCTGCTTGCTGCCCACTGCTGCTCTTAAAGACACTGAGGTTGCCTTGGAATAGGCTTGCTTGCTTTCCCTTGACAAAAAATACGGAGTTTTGGGGGCTATGAGGGGTGCCTTTAACTAGAGGTGGTGAAAGAGTGGGGATTATTGAGCTTTAGGGTAGGGGGAGGGGACAGGAAAGCCTACTGGTACCTAAACCTGAATCTTGGTTGCGCCCATGACTCTGCTGACACTATTTCAGTTGGAAAGAAGAATATGGGGACAGAGGCTCGAGTGCCGCAATTCTTAACCTTCCTTATGAGGATGTCTAAAATCCAAAAGTCAAATGGTTGATCCAACCTCTTTGTCTTCAAGGGATTTACACAGAGAATAAATCTTGGCCAATGTATGTGTTCTATAACACTTTTTTTCTTTATGACTCTGGAACACAGTTCATAGAAATTTTCATGGTCTCGTTGATGTTTTGCAGGGCTCCTTCCTTACAGCACCATGGAATGCCGTGTCGCTTTTGGGAGGTTGTCACACCACATTGTCTAGCCCCAGGCTAAGGGATTTTATTTATTTTTATTTCGCATTGTTTCAGCTGTTTTCACTTGTGCTTTATTTCCATCCTCCAGCAGAATTTCTTCATGAATGTGGCAGCACGTTGGGTTTCTTGGTTTATGAGGTGTAGTTAGTTAAATAGCCTGCTGGATTTGTTTGCCTTTATCTGAGAAATTTTAATACTGTAGCAGCAACAGAATGAAAGGTGACACTTTGGGAGCTGAGCTCTTACCAAAGTGAGGGAAGAGATGGGAAAGTTGTTCTCCCAGATCACTGCTGATCGGAACTTTTTCTAGCTGTCTTGTTCCTATTCAATTAAAGTCTCTGGATGAGACACTATCACTTCTGTAAATGCAAAAGGAAATCTTTGCTAGAGTATATAGCAATGTAATTTGTAATGTAACTATAGTGTGGTTAAATTGCATGCGCATATATATATTGAATTCTGTCCTCTACAAACTCTGCATTGTTTTCTTAACTACGATTTAAAAAAAAGAATAAATTTTGCAGTGGTTGCTTTTCTGAGCCTGTGTTGCTTGTATGCTTTCTGCCCTTCATTATATAGGTTTTCTGTTACTAAGTCTGCATTAAATTACACTTTTCATCTCTTATTTTTACTTTTCTTTGAGCCAGTTAAATGATCAATTAAACTGTCTCCGTGAATGAAATCTGAATACATTTGTATATCAGTAGCAAGAGAAATGTTGGCTGTCCTGTCTAAGGCCTATAACTTAGCATTCAGTCTTTTGTTATTTTCTTGGTTTCAATGAACAGATAAGTACTGTTACCTTTCATAAAAGAGTGACTGTTCACAGAGGGGCTACTGAAGGCTTTACTGTAATAATAAGGTGAAACTGATATGAAGAGGCTGATCTTGTACAATAAAACATGGCTCCATTTACTGATCTAGAGAAGGAGGAAATGTCTGAAGCCCTCTTTTCATTTCTCTTGTAGGATTACCTCGACTGTATCACTGACCAGACCAAGCTCGCCCTGGGGACAGAAGAGCGATCAGCCCTGTTTGGAAACATACGGGATATCTACCATTTCAACAGGTAAATTCATAATTTAACAAAATGAAAACAGTCCAATAGCCTGTATTAATGGGGAGGGAGCAAGCCAAGCAAATACTCTTTTATCATTTTAATACAGCCAAGATATATACATTGAGAAATGGTCTATCTTTGATTCTCAGCAGGGTTGGTTTGCTGAGGTCATATTTTTTAGCTGTTTATTTTATGAATCAAATGTGGTCCCCATTTACTTATTTGTTTTCATGCTGAGTATTTCCATGAATTTAAGCCTAACCTGCTCTGTGCCCTAACTGAGCCTAGCACAAGACCACTGTGAACGAAATTCTTGCCTTACTAGAGAGACGTCGTTTTATTTCTACTACATTAGGTCCTTTTGTGTACTGATGTACATCACCCAGATCTGGCTTTTGTAGCATTTTAAACTACTAGGGACTCCCTGAATTAATTTCTCAAAACTGTGTTCAGGTACCTTTCCATTTATTGAAGGCTTCTGTTCAGTATCTTTACAGCCTTCTCTAAAACTCTGCAGAGGGAATTCTAGTGTCTATTCAGAGCCTGAAGTAAAATTTCTTGCTTATATAGCTAGTGCCACATTGTGTGGGATCTGCAGTTTTAGGAGCATGCTACTGCTACTTTTGTCTGCATCCTCTGTTACTATAAAAATAACAACTTATTCAACATTTAAGTAAAACCTGAATATTCAATCGATACGAGAAATACATTGGCATAAAGTTCCCATGTCTTTTATATCCCATTACTCTTGTAAAAGTTCTCTTCCCTTTGCTATAGTTGACAAATTATCTCCCAAATGACTGTGTTCTTTGAGGAAGAACAGATAATTTAATTGCATCAAAAGAGGATTCTGAAGTGGAGGACTAGTGTCAAAGAGCGTCTTTAAACTAGTTTCCCATGATGATGGAAAAACGTTGAAGTGCTTCAGCTGCTGGGATCACTGTTCAGTATCAAAGGGAAGAGTGGGGACGGATCTATTCAGAACTTATGGACAAAGGTGAAATCTAAAATCTTCTCCTAAAACTTAAAACAGCTACTGCAGAGTAATGGAAATATACTTAACTGGAAAACTGCTATGTCCTGCTTCAGCTACAACAACTGACTTGACTGAATGTCTAACACGATGGAAAATATATAGCAGTATCCTGATCATGTGTTTTAGAGCCATGAGACAATGATTGTGAGTTTACAGCTTTCCAGCAGTCTCAGGATGGAAAAAAAAACCTGGTTCTGGCCGTTATATTTTCTGATCCTTCAAAAGCTAGAGAAATGGCAGACTTGGTAGCTAGGACACATTTATACCAGTGTCATTGCAAATATTAACTAATAAAAATACCTTCAAGTATGATCAGTAATTGTACAGAATAATTGAGTTGCAAAAAAAGATTTTCAGAGGTTAAAAAAAAAGAAAAGAAAAAGCAGTTTGGGACAATTCTAGAGATAGATATGTTACAATGGTTAAAACTCACTGGAAAGTTGTCCAAAACATCTAGTAAATTACTAATGTATTTCAGGCCTTCTAATTTAAAATTCTACATGGAAATTGTGAGCTTTTAAGACTGAACACTCATTGCAGATCCCAATATAGCTTCAAGGATTAAGTTCCCTCCTGTGTGAAACTTGGCATGTAGCTTCTGGGTCCTAAACATGCTCTAGAGCCTTTTTATGTATTTTACCTTTGAAAAAGGTCCATTTGGCAATTCTGTGTTAGTAGTTTCAGATGCTTTTTGTAAGCATGATTTTATAGTTTCAGAATTACCTTGTTTGTCTCAACTTTGAATTTGACCATTAATCAATGATCAAAAGTTTTAGGCTAATGTTTTTTTTGGACTTTGTATAGATCTGAGAAATTTCATTTCAGTAAATGGGAATTTTTCTCAGCTAAACTACTTATGATTTTTAGGTGTTGTGTTGAATGGCAGAAATGATGGTCAGGATGGTAACTATTAGACCTGTGACTATGATCTCTTTTTGGAAAGCTATTTCTTAGAGCAGAATCACTGGTCCTGCTCCATCTCTTGGGAAAAGTTCCCCCACTATTAATTTATTTATTCGAAAGGGGGAAGTGTCCTTTAAGTTAGCACTTGCTGCCTTTCTTCCCTGGCCTCTCCTGTTGAGATTCTTTCCAATTTCAGTTTAGGATAAATTTTCCACCTGATACCATCACTCAATTCTGAAATGGCAGCTCTGCAGAGAAACGTGCTCAGGTTTAGTACTTCTACCAATACTCAAATGATCTTAGGAGAAGCCAAGCTGAAACCTCTGCTGCTGACACCGATCATCCTGCACAGTCCTTGTCCATCCGTGAACTACTGAAGCGCACAAATACAGCGCAGGGCCATTTTCTGTAACTGCTGTATTCAGCAATTCCTGTGCTCTGAGCTTCACGGTGGTAAGGGCTGGCTTGTCAGGAGGAGCCTTTGTAAAACCTGTAAGAGCTCACCTCTAATGGAAAAGGTTTTTTTTCTGAGTGGCCACAGGACTTCTGTGACAATGAAGCTATATCAAGGCTTTTGATTGTTTTTTTCCTTTTTACTGCAAGTCTGAACTTTTCAGATTAATTTTCCAGAACTTTGTGATGAATGAAGACCAGATTGCGACTGCTATGTCCATTTTTGTTTTGAATGCTGTGCTCTGTCAGGCATTGAGAGAATGAAGTTTCTTGGAGATGCTGTTACTTTAGCATTTATGGCTAGACTGGGCAGTACTTGGTCATCAACTGTTTTGGGGTTTTTTTGTCATGGGTTCAGGACAGACCATGCCGTTTCCTTCCTATGTCCTTCCATTCCTTCCATTTCACCAGAATTGTCCATCTGATGTCCCTGTCACTACCATCTCTCACTCGCTCCAATCCAGATCAAAAATACTGGAGAAGAATACTTGTGTCTTGTTTTAAAATGGTGTGGTGATGATATAAAATTAATAAATTTTTTAAAAAGTGCCTCACCTGAATTGTGTGTGCAAATATGGTGGTTATTTGCAGACCTATAAACGCGTTTCACTTCTCTTGACGTCCTGTAGTCAACAGCTTGATACTAACCTGCACTTTGTCGTATTGAAGGTCTTCACCCACGAGGGGGGAGATAAGTAGTATTGTCTCAAAAATAATTTGTACTGCAAAAAATCAAAGCATCTTAAAAGACATTGTAATGAGACTCTTATTAATTTGACTTGAAAAGGTAATGAATGCACTGCATGAAAAATTGTCGTTCTCTTTATGCTTACCTCTCTCATCCCAAAGGAGTTAGCATTGGCTATTGAATATGATCGTACAGATTCAGATTTTTCCATCCCATAATAACCCAAGCTGTATAACTCAGTACATGGTCTTACATGGCACTGGCACTTGCATCATGTTTCAGTCCAAGTCTTATTAGTGCTTCAGCTGCAAGAGGATGGAGTTCCTCTAATGGTGCTCTCTCGTGCTCCCTTCCTGCCTGGGTGGTTGGCACAAGCGAGTCGCAGAGGCTGAGAGCTGAACAGCCTAAACCCTCTGGATGTTCAGGTGAAGGCAGCTAGTGTTTTTCTCTCTTATTTCTTCTGCCTCCCGTCAAGGACTAAGATGTAGCCTGTACTAATACCCAGCTTTTTCACATGTCAGCTTGGTATTATAGGGATTTATTTAAGTTTTTCAGGATTCCTGGGCATGCCAGTTTTGTTATTTTTATAGTGGCAGGCTGGTCTTACTAATCCCATTCTTACCAGCCAGGTGAGACAGAAGAGAGCACACTATAGGTAACAAAATCTTTCAAAGCATAGCCCTTACACTATGGGCTTGTGCTGAAGACACAAAAAAAAAAAGCCACTAGCATATTCACTGCATGAACTTGGACTCATTGAATATGTGCGTGAATATGTACAATCTTTTAAGTGTTGCATTACTGTATCCTGTAGAAGAAATAATGTGGTGTTATAGGAGACCAGTAGGGATAAAATGGCAATCAAGGTGCTACATACTGTAAGCTGTCAGGAAAATATCTGCCTGCTGGACAGCAGGAATCCTCTGAGCCTGTTCCGTGTGTTTGATGTTATTTCCGAAACTCGTGCGGAACACAGTCAGTCCTTATGACTAATGGTCACGGTCACCATTGCTACAGCTTGCCTCTTTTGCTGATGTAAAGGAGCTTCATGAGTGTGGGCTGTCAAGCAAGGGTGATATTTTTATTCCCATTTTGATGAAGGGAGAAATTGAGGTGTGGAGGTTAAATTGTTGCTGTACAGGGCGGCTTAGTTACCACTGAACCAAAGGTCTTTGTCTGTCTTTGTTCCTTGTGACTGATTGCTGATTTCTTCCCTTCCTTCCTCCAGTAATTAGAGAAGCAAAGAACAAGTCAGGAAACTTTTCTGGTTTACTCCTTTTCTTCCTTACAGAGGGAAATTGTGCCTGCTTAGAGGGGAAAAGGGTAGTTCCCTAGATACAGGCTTAGCAACTCTTATGCGAAACACATTCAGGGAACCAGCTGTGAACTGGGAAAAAAGTAGCCCTAAATGGAAAATCATCTGATGAGAAGGGGGCAGGGGGGAAGTTCTATCAGAGAACAATTTGGCAGAAAACTCAATTTCTTCTCTCGTTTTTCTGAGTACATCTTTCAGTAAAGACTACTTGGATCAAGGAGAGACCTTTGAGGTTTTCTTCTGTTTGAACTCTTATTTCACTGAATTGACTTTCAAGAACTGAGTGTCATACAACAGTGAACATGCTCCCTTATTGCTTTGCTCCTGTTACAATGAATTCATTTCCTGCTTGGCATGTCAAAATTATAAAATCCTCTCAGTAAGGTTTTATTTTCATGCATGTAGGATTTATATATTCCCTTCCAGAAAACTTTTTCCAGCCTAACCGTTTTTCTTCAGTGAAGAGACCCACTAAAGGTAGACAAGTTTTCCTGAGTGAGCTTATTACCATTCTTCTTGTATGTGTAATACATCCCTGGTTCTCGTCTGTGTTTTTTCACTCCAGCTCCTCATCTCCCTCGGTCAAGTAAAGCTCCTACAACATACAAAGACTTTACAGGACAGGGCGTGTGCTTCAGTATCCTTTAAATTTTGTTATTTTTAATTTGTGTTAGTTGATGTACAAGCTACACAACTGTCTGACGCCACCACTATGAGTATCATAGGAGAGCTGTCGATTTGAAGGAAGGGGTTCAGCTTTGCTTAGGAGATTAGCGATCTATGGTCATTGTGATGACTTGAATTTTTAAGTATGTGGGAATACCATTTCCTTAGAGTGCCCCTCTGCCTCCAAACAGAAAACCCCAGCAGCTATACATCTAGGGGGAAGCAGGGCATCAAAGGGATTCTCGTTCCCTTTTTAGGACTCCCTGCATCATTAAGTGCTTTGGGCATCACTGCCATGAATGATGAAGCACTGTCTGGCTCTGAATATTCAGGTGTGTCTACTCCAAGGTGTGTCATAATTGTTTTCCCTTTTCCTGTTCTTTGTTTTAGTGAACTTCTGCAAGATTTGGAAAACTGTGAAAATGATCCTGTGGCTATAGCAGACTGTTTTGTTTCCAAGGTAAGTGGCTGGTGCAGGAGTCTGCAGCACAACACCAGTTACAGAGTGATATGGGGTAATAAGATTAATTTATTAGCTTTTGAGACCTAATTCTGAGAGCTTGTATGACTTCAACCAATAAAAGTTAGCCAATCTGTGGAAAGGGAAGTAATTTATCTTAGTAGGTGATAGGGATATGCCTCTGATTTGGATTTTTAAAAAAGCCAGAAAAAGGTGTTACTTTCTTCAATAAGTGTATCTGAACTGGTGGAGCTGTTGATGTAGAGTTCACTTTTAGATCTCTCTTTGTAAAGAATTACAGGGATTCTTTGTTTTCCTCCTTTTTTTAATACAGGTGATCAAGTGATACTCCAGTTATGCCTTGTCATCTTAAAAACAGCTACAGAATACAGCTTGGCTGCATTTTTAGAAAAGGCAATAACCTTAACATACTTGTGGTGATACTGTTTTCTGAGATGCACTTTTTTCCTGAATCCAGCAGCCATGCCTTTAATTTTCTTTTTAAAGGGGAAGGTCCAAAGTTTAGCCTTAAGATTCGAATCTCGTTCTCTCTGAAATACTTTGAATTTTCTGAACATTGATCTGACATATTTATTCTGTTGGGCAATTCTGAAGCCAAAAAATATGGAGAAGAAGTTGTCAGGTGCAGGAGAAATACAGGGTAGCAAAGTAGGTGTCCTTCATTGTAGGAAACTCAGAGCGCCAGTCAGAAAGGGGAGTGGCTATAATGGGTAGGATAACAAGAGATTAAGTAATTTGGGCTACAGGTCACTCTAGTTCACTGCAGACTTCACCAGAAAACCTACATGTGCTTTGAATCTGTAGAGCCCAAATATGTTAAGAAATAATGCGATCTTCATGGGTTTTTCTGGGGGAAGAGGAGTGGAAGAGGGGGCATGTATTTGTTTAAATTTGGGTAATCTCTCTATAGGTGTGCTTGCTTTTTTTTCCGTTTTAAAAAAAAAAAAAAAAGCCAAACTTTGTCACATTTTATAGTTTGTCCTGAACTCAGTATTGCCAGCACCAAATGTTCACTGTAATAGGTCTAACACAAGGATTTAGGATTAACTGCACCACCCTCCCATGATAGTCAAGTAAATTGTTTTGCGCTGTTGTGACACAAGGGATTTTATCGTAAAGGGGAATGATGATACCAGCTTAGTGCTGCTGTTTCACCGGATCACTTGCTTGAGTTGAGTTTGAGAAAGCTGTTATTTATCAAGTAATTGATCTTTTGTAACCACTGAGACATCTTAGTGTTGGCACCACTGCTGCAAAAATAGATTGTATTTTTACCCCATTGCAATGGGGTTTATGGCATGTTGTTATCACTCCAGATAGCCTGTATTGAATTGAAGGAAAGAGAATGGGATAAGGGCAAGCACAAAGTCCTGCTTCTGGAATGGAATAACCCCATGTGCGTGCTGGGTCTGGCTAACTGGGAAACAGCTTAGCAAAAAAAGAATCTGGGGTCCTGGTGAATAAGAAGTTGAGCATAAGTCAGCAGAGTGCCCGTGCAGTGAAGGCCAATTATGAGGCCTTCAGGATATTTACAGATACCACAGTTTGGAGCTGGTACAGCAGAAAGATCTGTTGCTTGCTTACGCCTGGGAGTGCTCCTGGCTGGGACATGAAACAGAGGTGGTGCAAGCGATAATAGCAAGTCCAGGAAAAAGTTGTGCTCTCTTTCATATTGGCCAGCTGAAAGGAGCTTTCTGGTAGACTTTCTGGCCGTTAGTTCCAAAATCCATCTGCGTATCATTGCTCGTGCTTTTTGTTCCCTTGTCAAATGCTTTTAGCATTTGCATTATTGGCAGGCAACTGCCTGATGGCTCAGAAATTGCTAGAGATTGCAGTCCTAACAAGCATTTTTTTAGCTTCATCCAGACAAGTGCAAACACTTAAAAGCAAAATCAAACAATACCAAAATACCCCATAGTTCTGGTTTTGGCCGTGAAGATGGCATTACAGCAACTGCTGACTGTCTTAACAGACTCCACTTGTCCATTCTTGGTTGCTTGTATCTTTCCAGCATTGAGTAGTGGAAATAAAACTGCCTTTTTTGGCAGTATGCAGTCCTTCAAGTCTTATGGGACTTTGGCCATTTATTGTTTGATTGCTTCGAGTGTGCTAGATCTTCACTGTGAGTTAAGCACAGCGATAGTATCATGCTGAAGTCATAGCTCACAGCCTTAGCTAATGGATGTAGCTCTGCTGGAGATTCTTTAATGCTTCCTGTGGAACTGTGCTTAGGTTACATGAGCTCTGGCTCTAGTGCCATTCTTTTCATCCTTCTGGTTCAGCTGTGAATACCCTAGTTGCTGGGAATTTAAGCATATAATCAAGTTTTCACTGTAGGTACTGTGTTTACTTTTTGCATTTCATGAAGCTCAGTAACAGCATAAAGTAATAGCCATTTCTTCCTTCAGGATTCATGTGAAATGACACAAAGTTGTTTTGCATGTATAACAGAACAGTTATGGTAACTCTGTAGTTACCATAAGTAACTCTGGAGCTCGTTGGAACTTGAATATTTGTGAAAATATCTAAGCAGCTTAATTTAAAGGTCTAGTTTTGTACTGTATTTAATACACTGTTTCTTTGAACTTGACTTTGTTACTTGGTTTTGCTCAATAAAATATGATGTATGCCATATTATACTTCCCTCACACAATCATACATCACTGTGTTTCCTGTGTATAACTTTCACACTTGAGTAGTAGACAGCCTTGCAGCTTTTACTTTTAAGGGACATACAGTAAGGATTATCAAAGCACATTAGTGCACTTTGAACGAAAACTCGGTAATTGTGGATCTTTTGCATTTGTTGTGCTGAGTGCTCAAAGTAAATAGCTCCTAAAATGGCAGCTTTCATTTGGTAAGAGACTTCAATAAGATGTCTTTAGTGTCAACTAGCCAGTGACATAAAACTCACTAACAGATAAAATAACCACGCAAAGCTATGACTTTATATAAGTATAAAAATTTAATAACAACTTACAACATTGTATTAAATCCCTCTGCTTCCCGATATTTTAATTCATTAATAACTCATAGGCAAATAGACACAAATGCAGAAAAGCATGCTTTTTCAAAACCTGCTTTCCAGTCATGAATTGCTGCCTTTGCCTTTCTGCCCCAGGATGCAGACGGTGTGAATGGGTATTTGTTTAAACACTGTGGGATGGCTCGTGCACGGAAATAACCTGCCACTGAGGGTAGTGGTGTACTAGTTTAGTTTCTACCAGCTCTGGTCGTGCCTCTTCGTCTAGAAGAACTGTATTAACTCTAGTATGTTAAATGTCTTGGAGACATTTTGCTGGTAACTGTAATCGGAGGCTGGTTAAAGGGTTCCAGTGCAAGCTTAGCTATAGCTTAATTATTCACATAAAAGATTGTTTATAAGTTTTATTGCCAACTCAGTCTTTCATTTTCATAGTAATGATGCCAGTGTTAATTAGAAGATTGACTTCAGTGTTCTACACGTTTGCATTTAAGTGAGTTGTTGTAAAGGAGTGCTTAATTCTGGCACATTGCTCTTCTCACTCAGCACCCCAGAAATTCAGAACATATGTTTTCTGAAAGACACACCAACAGCTTAACCAAGGGAAAAGGGAGAATTACTCTAATCTAGCATCTCGTTAATGAAGAGGAGATCCAGGCAATTGGCTTTAGCTTACACTCTGACTCAGCTCGTTTTCTCAGTCTCCATTTTCTTTTAAAGTGCCTTTTATGGCTATATAAAAGCACAGTGCACCAAGAGTTGAGAGAAGATCGGGGATCTAGCCACGTGCTTGGCACTTCACGCCGTGTGGAGGAGACGCGCAGTGAATTGATGCAGCTGCGGGGGACAAGCCAAGTATGGCTGGGATCTGCTCGCGCTTGGCTTTGCTCTTGAGGGTGACTTGCAGTCAGTGTGGATGAACTCTCAGCTTGGGTCTCAGTTTTTGCACCCACTACCACAACAGCTTTGGGCCCTCAGATTAAAAATGATCTCTGGAGAGATTCCAGTCTCGCTGGAGAGATCATGTTTAATCTGTTTTGAAGGCAGTTGAGGTGAACAAAACAACTTTCAAGCTGAATAAGTTTAGGAATGTCCAAAGAAATACTAATGAGCATAGCTGGCGTTTCGCTTACAGTGTGAAAGTATTGGTAGAAATATAGTAAATCCATCTTAGTCCTGTTTTTTTTCTGTCGCTTCTGAACATAGTTCACAGCATTGCCTTTAGCCTGCATGGCTTTTACCCTGCGACGCTCCCAGTAAGACAGCGTTCTCTCTGGGGACTCTGCGGTGAAGTAGAGAAGACCAGCTGGGCGTGTGAACTACAAGTCCCTTCTTTGACGGCGCAGAGGTGCTGGGTAGCCAGGCAGGCGGTGGGAGAACGGCCGTCCTGAGTTAGCGCAGCTTCCTCAGGCTGAGGAAGAGCCTCTCTCGGAAGCAGTTCTCTTGGCCGCTCTCCCCATGTGTTCACGTGAGTCCTGCCAATGCCTAGGCGAGGTGTATGATGCTGATTCACACCAGCTACCATATCAACAGTCTCATTCTGGAGGCAAAAATGCATGTAATTGTACTGGCACGATGCTCGCGTAGCTCAGTAAAAGCAGATGTGCTCTCAGCAAAAGTGAATGCTCTCTGATGGTTTCGTGTGATGAAACGAGCTGTGGCGCGATGAAAAGAGTACGCGTGTAAGTGCAGTGTGAAGTTTGGCATCATGTCTGTTCAGAAAGCAGGGATGATTGTGAAACCATTCTTAAGGTTTTTAGAGGTGTTGAGGGCATGAGAAACTACCCTTTTTTCTTTTCCTTTTTTTTTTTTTTTAATACAAGTTTATTCCATTTAATAGCTAGACTAAAATTCTTTTAAAACCAAAAATCCTACTGAAAGTAGTTTTGACCTTGTGTTAAAACCAAACCAAAACAAAAAAACCCCAAAAGCCAAAACAAAGAGGGAGAGTATGAAAAGGCTTCTGGGGATTTCAGACTTGCTTTTGATTTTGTGGGGAATGTGCACTCGGTTCACTCTGAAACCCTGAAGTGTTTCGCCTTGTTTGTTTTATGGATAATGCTTTCATTTGTTAAAATTTCACAACAGATATTCTCTTTGTTTGACAAGCAGAACAATCATGTGACTGTATTTATGAACACAGTATATATATACATATAAAATAAATTGGCACAAAATGTTCTGCTCTTTGTTTATGAAGTAGTTCTATAAATTGCATTAGTCTGTGATTGTAGCCATGGGAATATATTACAACTTATACCAAAAGCCCCTAAACAAAAATCTTGTATTAATATATTCATATATAAAGTAAATCACCTTTTTTCATCAGACTGAATTTTATCCTAATGCTCTCTCTTAAGCACCCTGACTTATTATGAGTGCTAGCTAGTTTGGTATTGATTGCCGTAGAAAATTACACAGTGTAATGCCTGCAATGCTCTGAGATTTGTTAATTCTTCATTTTGAGCGGAGAGGGTTTGGAGCTGTGGCCAGAGATCCCAAGCGTGGCTATGACACAAGCTCGCTGACTCTGAGTGTGGACACGGGGCGTATGTACACCACTGTAAAAACTAACTGCGACAGCAAATAAGTCCAAACGTGAAAAACCGGGCTAAATCATTTAACTGTATTTCTATCAAGACTACATTTGGTTGGTTGGTTTCTAAGTGAAGAGCAGTTTAACAAGCTTACAGCCCACTAGTGAGTAAATGGGGATCGTGGTCCCCTAGAGAAACTTTTATTAGAAGTTTGAGTTATTTTTTCCGAACAGTTAATACCAAAATCCAGCAAGAAATACTGGAATGAATTGCAGTGACTTGTACTCGTGTGTAGTAGTACCTTACTTTATACAGGGTCACTGTCTAAAGTATGAATCACTACTCACTGGAAAAATGAATGGCACCATCTGCTTTACGCGTGCCGGAGGGGGAAGGGAGCACTGCTGTTGGAAATGGGGAAGGGTACTGCCTGAGCTGGCTCTTCCTGATGAATAGCCAAAAAACCCCAACCCCAACAATAAGAAACAAAAGCCACAGCCTGCGTCAGCCCTCTCCCCAAGTGATGTTGCTCCTCAGAGCACTGTTGCATTCCGTGAAGGCAGATACTTGGTCTCATCATTCACCAGCGACTACCCCCGGGGGGACTGCCCCTCGCAGCGCAGAGCTCTTGTGCTGCAGAATGCCAGAGTCTGTTCTGGAGATGCTTTGAGTGGAAACTGGGGTCTTGTTTGCTGCCAGAGGATTGCTTTTTATCGGTCTAGGTCTCAAGAAAGAAAAAGTAATTTATTTTAGGAGCACTTTGCAGTTCTGCAGTGCTTGCTTAGGCTTTAGGACTCCAGCAAGCTGCAGAAGTGGCACGTTATTTGGGATAGAAGTTGATAGGCAGATGTAAATTTAAAGTACGGTTTCTGGAAACCTGTTCTTGCATAGAATTAAATTATGATAATTAAGGAAAAAAATCTTAGGCCAAGGAGGAAAGAAATGAAACTCAGGCTTTTGCTCCAAGAAGCTTGTCAGCGTTAAGCGTGGGTAATTTCACTGTGACAGGCAAGTGCGGAAACCCACCTAAATCTAGTTACGACTTGTTTGAGTAATAACTGTCTGCTTTCACAGAGTCATAATTTACTTTAAAAAAAAAATAAAATCACTTTTATGGCTTCTAATTTTCACGCTTAGACTGTGCTCAAATGTGAAAGTATTTATAGTTGTTTGAATATTGCACACTGAACATACCCTGCAACACTTACTTCTCCCAGTAAGCGTGTGTGTGCTTTAGCACACACAAAACTAGATATGTGCAAGCCAGTTGTTTGAGGGGATGTGGGGGTGTTGGTATTTGGTTGGGTTTGGGGATTTGGTTTGGGGTTTTTTGTAGTTTTTGTGGGGTTTTGTGTTTTTGGGAGGTTTAAGATTCATGGATTGTCATAAAGGACCTTGGAGGCTCTGTTGCAAAGCTGCTTGCTTTTATTTCTGCATAGGGTTTCTTGGTTTTTCCCTTCAAGTAAAGGAAAAAATCTCCAAAAAAGGAAAGATGAAATTTCGTTAGTAGGTCTATGGTAGTGTTAGGACCATCACCGTGAATTCATTGATCAGGAATTAGAGGAGGCATTGTCTTGATGTCATAATCTTTATCTTGCACATGTGTTAGCTGTGAGGTTGACAAAAATCTGAATACACATAAATCTTTCCTCCCCATGCAGAGTGAAGATTTCCACATATATACGCAGTACTGCACCAACTACCCAAGGTAGGAATACTGGGTTCCCTTTTAGCATTTGTCCTTTTGCCTGTTTATGTAATGCAAGTTACAGTCTATACAAAAAAAAAATGTGCCTTTCCTCCCTTCCAAACTGGAGGGAGAATCGAGGAGTTTACCTTTTTTTCTTATCTTAAAATAAATTTAAAAAACCCCTCATCTGAAATTTTATTTTGACTCTTCTTGTCTTTCATTGCTATTATTGTCCTTTAGAAAATGATGGTCTTATTCTGCATTGCTCCAAATATGTGATGCCCAGTAAAAGAGATGATTATATGTCACAGGAAAATATAACTGAATTCACAACATAACTTAAAAAAACCCCACAAACAAACAACAAAACCCAACAGTGATTGGATTAGGAACCTGCTGCCCCCTTTTACGAGGGAAGAAAGAAACAATTCTTGACTTCACCTACAGACTTACGGAGACAATGTGTCTTAAAGCTATGTATTGGTGTTTCCAGGTCAGTGGCTGTGTTGACGGAGTGCATGAGGAACAAGATGCTGGCCAAGTTCTTCAGAGAACGGCAAGAAGCTCTGCAGCATTCTCTGCCCCTGGGCTCCTATCTCTTGAAACCTGTCCAGCGCATCCTGAAGTACCACCTGCTTTTGCACGTAAGCACCCATTAGAAATGCATTTTGTTTAGGGCTGCTGCACGTCAAAAGTTCCTGCCTCCGATACAAGGCTTGATGGTTAGAAAGGTTCTGCATTTCTTTTGATGCTTTTTCTTTTGGGGTTGATTTCTACATGTGGAGACTTTTTCTGTCTTCATCATTTCACAGCATATGCATATATTTGGAGTGGGAAATTTGTGGTAATTGTTTTAGATGTAATGAATCAGTCTGTGCATCCAAATGATTAGCTGCTTTTTTTTTTTTCCTTTTTAAACTGGTCTGTAATTGTGAAGTTGTTTGGAAGATTCTTGACATGATTGAACACTTCTGTACACAAATTTATTGTTCCAATGAAAACCAGCATTTTTCCACATGTTGCAATGCTGGGGGTGGTTGAAAGAAGGATTAAATATGTATAAACACCCCGATTGGTAAGAATTTTGTGGAGAGGAATGACTGAGGAAGTGGGAACTCTTTCTGTATTCAGTGAATTAAGCAAGTTTTGGAAATTTCTGCTTTATTGTTAACATTTTCCACATATGTTTCCTATTAGAGAGTCATGTTTTAGTGAAGTGTAAAGACACTGATCCTTATTTAAAATGTCTGGTGTTTTTCTGCTCTCCAACTGTAAAGTAATGCCTAGTGTAATTCCATCAGGGTTTTGTAAGCGCGTAGATACGTTCTGCGTTTTAAGAAAGCCATTAGACGCTGTCTGAAAGGGTCTCCTGTCAGCGTGCTGCGCTCTTTCTGTGCCTCTCTGCTCGCATCAGCTGCTGCAAGTATAGTCGCTGCTAAACTGACCGTAAAGGCTTGGCTTTGTTAGTCATCTTGTGTTAATCAAATTGATAACAACATGCAATAGTAACAAAGGCAGGAATGTTGCATTTGGGTGATTGCAGTGCAAAGACTAAATAGTACAGATAAAAACATAGCATTGTGTTCGGCTGGGAAAATTAATTTGGAAATAACAGGACTTTTTGTTCCCCATCTTAGGAAATAGAAAACCACCTTGACAAGGACACAGAGGGCTATGATGTGGTGCTGGATGCCATAGATACGATGCAGAGAGTGGCATGGCATATAAATGACATGAAGAGGAAACATGAACATGCCATCAGGCTCCAAGTGAGTTCTTGAAGAGATTTTTATGGGTGTTTGTGAGCTGTTTTTGTCAATATATATGCTATTAACATTTTTTAGTTTATCTTTTCTTTTAATCTTTCAGTCATAATTTAGACTCCTGTTGAGTATGCCTGTGGCTGTTTGATCTTAGAGACCGTGGCGATAGCTGCTGCAGTAAAATCTCAGACATCTCTGCCCTACAAGCAGCATCCTGTAAAGCATTTATTTTGCAGTAATACGGAACTTAAGATAACTTTTCTTTCTTCCTTTCCCTCAATTGTACAGCACTGCTGTACAACCCTAGGGCATGGCTTTGTTCAGAAATCCTGTGGTTTCCGATTTCTCCCCTTCGTGCTGATTAATTTTGTTTTGAGGCATTTCTTGTGCTGCTTCTTGTTTAAGTACTTTCCTCTTGGGCTTTTGAAGACTCATTATCAGTTGCTTTGTGAAAAGTATAAACCTAGAAATATGATACTTAGAAAAAGGTTAACTTTGCTTCAAATTAAGAATTTTTGAGGAGAAAACAAAAGCTACGCCCTGAGTAACTTTTGGCATCAAGAGCAAGCTATTTCATTGATAGTTTACAGAACGGTCACTCTATTTCAAACTTCCCAGTGAATCACAATTTTACGTTACGTTTCATCAGCAGTATTTATATTGCTTTAAGATATTTGGGGGGATTTTTTAGTTTATAAAAGGGAGTAATAGGCTTATACCATTCCAGAAATCTATGTCATGTTATTCTTTGTCCCTTTTTTCTTTTTAACATAAATGATACTTATTTGCCCTCATTTTTGTGGTTGGGTTTTTTTTTTTGTTGTTGTTCGTGTAGGAAGAATAGGATTGCATTTGATAATGTCTTGCCTGCAGCAGTGTAACCTTTTGCCACATGTTGCTGGAAATACATGCTGATAACTTACCAACAGTTTGCTATAAATCTGAGTAATGATAACCAGTAATATTTGGTTATAAAGGGGATTAAATGCTTTTGGAAAAGTGTGAGGGGGCATGTTTTTGAGCTCAGCTGGCAAATGTATGGAGTGGTAGAAAATGTTTACGTTCATACTTACCCTTTTAAAAAGTAAAATCTGCTTCTGCGGCCATAAGGATAGGTCTTCTGTGGGCTATCACACTGCCATTCCATCTGTAATGCTGCAAGTACTGCGACAGCAGTTCCTGTGCAGAGTCTCCCTCAACAGTGGTGGACATGATCCCTGTGCTGTACCCTGACTTATTTACAAGTTCCTAGAGAGACCTGATAAAATGCATTTTTTTTTTCATTTGTTACATTTAATTTTGTTTTTATAACAGTCTTGTTTATAGTCCAAAATATGCTGCTTTTGGGTTTTCTTCCTGTGAATGTTCTAGGCCACCTTGTGTGTCAAATGCACTGAGATGTTTTCTAGCTGAATGGTGTATTAATGTAATGTCCTAGAGAGACCAGCCTAGGATGAGGAAATCTGTCCCTGCTTTGCTAATGGTGCCAGGATTAAAGTCCGATGGACATTTTAAGATTTCCCTGCTTAAGGTTTAGTCGGCTCTTACAATTTCCTGTAGCATTCTTAAGTGCTATGTCATTGCTACTGACAGAAAAAAACAAGCAACTGAAGGAAACAAGAGTAGCCATCGCTAAGCAGCACAGACTTGTGAAGATGTTCTTAGA